GGCTCGGGGGCGGCAGGGGTGGCCGCCGGCTGCGGCAGCGCCGGAGGCGCCGGTGCCGGCGAGGACCCCGGAGTCTCCCTCGTGAGCGTCCACAACGAGTACCCCCGTTACATGGACGATCGCATGCTGGCCGGCGGTGGCGGCTCCCTCAAGGGCCAGTCCGGCGGTGGCAGCATCGGGCCCGGGTCCAAGCACAAGCCGAACGTCGGCTACCGGCTGGGCAAGAGGAAGGCTCTCTTCGAGAAGCGCAAGCGCATCAGCGACTACGCCCTCGTGATGGGCATGTTTGGCATTATCATAATGGTCATCGAAAACGAACTGTCCAGCGCCGGCATTTACAGCAAGGTGAGTGTGCTTCCTGCGGCGCCGAGCCGCCCGACGTCGCGGCGCATTGATCCGAGTTTGTGTACACTTACAGGGAAAAAGGCCTCCCGGCGTATCCTTTTAATGAAACTTGGTGGGTTCGTAGAGGGGGTAAAAATATTTGATGTGTATCGCTTTTTTAAGCCGGCAACGAAAGATATTTAAGAGGTGAAGTCGGTCTCCGGAAAATCGGCCGAATTTGTTTACCTTCGGTCGTAAACTTCTGAATGAAACGTGATGGCGTGATTTCGTTAACGTACAAGATGTGCAGAATTTTGAAAGCTATCCGCTGGTATAAAGATTAATTTTGTACATGAAAAAACACGAGTTATGAGACATATTCGTGTTCGCTAGTACTGCATAATACAAACGGCGCGGCAGCTCGCAGTTTCACTAATCCTGCGTACAGTTAAATAAAATATATTTCTGATCCTTTTTCTAATATATATATGTAGAAACAAAACTGCATTTATTACATTTATTATTATTGCATTATTACACATTTTCCTGTAAATGAAACATTTCCACTAGAAAATATTTCACATCCGCTAATAGAAAAATTAATGTTAAGTTTTATGATTCGTATCTTTTCATGAAAAAAAAATTAATTTTTATACCAGTGGATAACTTTCGAATTTTGTATATTTTATACATTTACGAAAATTATACTATCATTCTTCGTTCAGAGAATATAATATGTATATACATATATATATATATGTACATTGTAATTGTAATACATTGGATTTGGTTTTCGAGTCACTCTTCTTCGCGAATTGATTTCCGACGTTTCGTGAACATTTCTCTTTCCACTTCTTCGTGAGAAACAACCTGAAACTAATCCTCACGCCGAAGAAGCAGACTGAAATGTTCACGAAACGTCTGCAACAAGTCCACGAGGGACGCGGTGCTGACTCAAGAACCAGGTTGAATATTTACCCGAACCGCAAAAGCCTAAAATATCAGGTATATAACATATTGTTCTTTTGAAAGCTTTGGGGAGAATCGACAGCTTAAAATGGTGAGAAGAAACGTTTCATTTGTACTTGAAAGTTTCGAGAAAAGTGAATCGCACCGTCGGTCGCGTTGAAGCCCTCAATTAGACACGTAGATATGCAATATAGACGAAGGTCACAAATAGGCGCGAAGCTTGCCATGCGGCGGCGTTCACAACTTATACCCAGCGGGCATCCGATTAATTCACACTTAACCCGCTAATAGGCCAGTCAAACTTTCGCCGAGATTCTCGTAAACTCATCTTAGCTCGCTCGTTCGCTCGCTCGCTCGCGTGCGGGAATGAACTTCTCGGTGATTCGGAAGTTAAATACCGAAGGCGCGTTTCACGATCTCGGCAGCTCCGTCGGTTTCCCGTTCACGATACCGCAAACACGACATTTGCGAGCTGAAGAGCTGGGTAATCGAGTCACCCCGGCAGAAGAGTGTCACCGTCGAGAATTCGACGGCTGTGCGTAAGAGACCAGCCTCGAAATTCACGTTCGCGCGCACCTGAGCCTCGCTGGCTGATTTTTTATCGCTGACGCGAGCTTGACCAAGCCCGAATATTCATCGATCCATAGTTGGTGAAGGCGAATCGACGCTTATGTCGTTCGTGGTAAATCGATAGCGTTTCAACCCGGCTGCTGTGTGCGTCGCGACGGTGATAAAAGAAAAATTGCAATTATGCCTCATCCGTTGCAAATAGACGATTATACGGGGTGTCCGATAATTATCTCGGCAATCGCGTGTGATGTGCAGGTATAACGGATGAAACTGGATACAAAAATCATCTATTAATTAATTCCTCATTAACTAGTGCGATTTTTGCAAAATGATACCTGATTTTCCCGTTTAGTTTAATCCGTTCTACCTGCACACGGCAGATATCGAGTTAATTATCGAACACCTCGTATAATTGTACGCATGCAATAAACGCGCCATTACAGGTGATTCGCGGCATTTGCAGATGTTCGGTATTTACGTATTTATTGATACTCGCGGCTTATTCAACCTGTGTACTTTAACGTGGTCTATCTCTCTCTCTCTCTCTCTCTCTCTCTCTTCCTCTCAGGAATCCTCTGAATAAATTACGGGAGTCACTGATAAATGATAAAAGTTCACAATCGAGTCCGAGGAGAGCGAAGATCGAGACCGTCCGCTGAATATTTATCGCCGGTCGGAATGCTCTGTGGCGAAACGTTAATTCATTCGCAATCGATCACGACCCTCGAAGCCACGTGAAAAGTGCAAAACGGTGTAGCCGCGTGAATATTACACCAGCCGTCCGCCGAAAAGGGCACATCAGCGGCTGGATTTTATTCTTGAAGGAATTCCGCAATCGATTTCCCCGTCTGCGAAGGACCGACGCGTCGCAGCTATTTATTCTCGAGCGGTGGCTCTCTTATTTACAAGACTGAATAATTGCTGGCCGAGACCGTCGCCACTGGATTCGAGTGAATTTCCGAAAAGCACCATCCTCGGCAGAGGCCGAAGATCGCACGCGACATCTCACGGGACTTGATGTGGAATAAGTCTCCCATTGCGAGGAGAAACGGCGGAGTCCCGAGAATCTCTTAAGGAGACCGAAGAAGGATCTTAATATTTTTTTTCCAATTGGTCGGAGTCGGCGAAGAGTCTGTTAAATGGAGTAAATTTCTGCACCGGCGTTGCACCCCTCTGAAAATTCTCGCCGACCGGCACTCGCGATGGAACTTCCGCGGAGAAACGAGGCCGGCCTCTTAGGTCCACGGAGGGAACGGCTTAACGCGCGGATCTCGTAGACACATAAAAGAATTCCCTGGAACACCCTGTAGGCTTGTATCGCGGAAACCGGGAGAAACCCGCCGACAGTCGGTCTCAGCTCCTTTCAGCCCCGAGGAGATTCGCGCTCGAGCGAACGCGACGTGAGATGAAGACCTCCGCCTCGGCAAATGTATACACGACACTAGCATTCGCTCGCGCTCCGAACAATCCTCACAGGATGTAGATCGGACCCTTTCCCCCGCGGCCCCACGTATCGTTATCCTTTCACGTCCCATCCCCTAATCCGCCGTCTCACCACGGTAAGGTGGAATCAATGCTGTCACGGATAACAACTCTTTCCTTGTAGCGACGAGGCCCGCGACGTGGATTTGAATGATAGATCTCCCCGTTCGCGTGGAACGAAGCGGGCAAGTTCAAGGACTCGCCGATCGAAGAGAGACATCGACGGGGAACAGTTGACAAGTGAACTTTGCGCGGAGGACGGAGAAGTATATAATAGCACGCGGGAATTGAAAAACTCCGCGGGGATCGTCGGGGAAATTTCCCAAACGACGAGTTCCGCGAGAGATGTGCGAGGCTCCAAAACTCCGGCAGGTGCGAGGATACAGAAATTCTTAGATACAGGTATAAAAGATCTAAAGAAGGAATTACAATAATGTCCCGGGATAGTTGGTCCGTAAAGTGCCGGATTTTTAATGGCGATATTAAAAGGATCCCTACTTGAGGGTTTGTCATCTACTGAAAAATACATTTCCATAACTATATTTAACTATCTAAGTAATAAATGTGAATTTCGAGCGTGAAATTTTGACAAATATACACACAGTATTACAAATATGGGGATATTATTTATTTCTTATTTTTTTTATTACGATAGTTTTTCATTGAAATTCTCAATGTGGCTTAAAATAAGGTAAAAATAAAAGTTAGAAATAGGACATTTTAATTTTAACGAATATGTATAAAAAGCATTATCTTTAGTTGCGAATATTTCAGCTTACGAATGACCGATCGTTTGTCAAATTTACAGACGTGCAAATGGTATTTCCATCAATATGCGACTGAACTTTCAAAATGATGTCTAAGAAAACGGTTTAACGGACCAACTGCCTTCATTTGGGATTTTATGAGGCCTAATACCGCGTCTGTACCGCGGGTTCCGGAATTTAACAATTCCGAAGTCTCAGAATGCGACGCTTTCATAGAAACAAAGAGATCGGAGAATTTCGATTTGACTGTTCTGATTTTACCGTTCCGATATCGTTCCCAGGATCTCGAGATTCCAAGGCATCATTTATATTTACTAATCGGAAGCCGTAGGGCCACTCGATGGATCCTTAATTAACATGATGCATGTATGATGGACGACGCATTAATGCGCGGTACGCTTGCACTCAGCGAATGCATCGAGCATCTCCGGTCGATGGCGCCTCCACTGTGCGTCGGGTACAAACGTGCGGACACCGCTAATGCACCTGTCTGTAACTAGATCGGGAATGCAACGCCTTACGGATCGCTACCTTCGAGGACTAAATCCTTCATTTAGGACGGTCGAATTGATTTGACGTTATATATGACCGGTGTGATGAATCGAAGTGCTCGCAATAAAGCGGTCTATCGGGACGACGGATTCTTTGGTCGATAGACCACTTCCAATTTAACCGGCGATGGAATAGTCTCGAGCTTTTTGCAGTCGCTGTCGGAGGATCCCGCGACGAGCATAAGGAATCCCAGCCAAGAATTGCCGGGAACGGTGGGTCCGACTTCATTAAAATTCGCCCCGCGTTTCCCCGCAACAATTTCGAAACTTATGAACGCCCGACACGCGGAATTCGAAAACGGGTTCGCGCTTAAGCGGCAGAAATGTTTCTCTTCGAGCGTGCCGGCGATTTCCATTTGTAATGCGAGGGATAACTCCGGGCGCAAACAAGGACCAGAGCGGTAGGATGTTGTGTGGAAGGGCCCTTGATTGTTAACGAAATGCGCGACATCCGCGACACGATGATTCGAGAGCCTAAGCTTAGGGAGAATGGAAAGGGCGCGTTTGAGAATATTCGCTCTCTGCGCGAAATAGAAGTGAAACGAAATGGAAACGACGGAACTCACGAGCACGTTTGAACTCGGGCACCTTCCGGTCTTTCTTTTTCCTCAGGAATCGCCCGTATATTCCGAGTTAGTTCTCAATCATGCAAGACAAAGGAAGCATCGAGAATTGTACGAAG